AGATCAGGAATTTGAGAACCAGAATCCCCGCTGCTCGCAGCGTGCTCAACGGAAACCTCGCCGCCGCTCGTGCTCCGCGCCGCCGCCATCGCCGGCCTGGCGCGCGGCCACCTCCTGCTCGCGCTCCGCGCCGCCGCCGTCGTAGGCCTCGCGCGTGGCCGACCCTTGTCCCTCCCTGACCGCGTCTGCCTCCGTTCGTTTGCCGCTCCTGGTGCGTGGGCGCCGCCGCCAGCTAGCTCGCCGTCGACAACCTTGCCAGCAGCTGCGCTAGGGGCAACCTCGCCATTTCGGAAAGTTTCTCACCCCTTTTAACCCGGAAATTATAAAATATTGTTTTCAGTGTCCTATAGCCAATTACACCATTTTTTAGTGTCCATCAGCCGTGTCACGTTTTTGTGGTGTCTCCTAGCCAATTACATATTTTTTGATTGTCCTGTAGCAAATTTTGCCTTTTTTTAAAAGGTGATTTTGTGTTGATATTTTCAGTGATTGCAAGATGAGCTTACTTTTGTTCTCCCTACACAAAATGCGACACAAAGGCACTTTCCACTTTATTTTTGTTCTCCCTTCATAAAATGGGTCTTAGTTTGTTTTCTTTGACTAAAGAGTCTTAATTTTATGCACCATTCACTGGTGGCATGTGTTATGTCGTATTGAATTACCACCTTTACGCAATGAAGTTATCAACACGCACACACACCCTACATGCTCGACGTATAGAGACTAGCAATAAATTCATGGACTCACTAAATATTTTGTTGAAAAATCACCCCAATATGCACGAGAAAATTGCAATATTAGGACTGCAAACATGAGGGCTTCGCTGTTTTGACACTCTGAGTGGATGACAAATGGGTCCATCTGTGTCTATGAAATGTGAGTCCAATATCATTATAGCAATGGTTAATGTTTGCAGTGTCATAATTACAAATCCCCCCAATATGCACACATCCATCCCATACATCCGATGCCTCTTCAGACCCTAAAGTCGTATGCATCTTATGCCTAGACCACGATTCGCTGTTACTTCAACTAGAAAATAAACATAGTATGACCAAACTAATTAAACATTTTCTTTAAGAATTGTTAATAATAAGCTATACTTTGACTATGAGCATCCGCAATGTATCATTTACTTAGGGGTCCTAAGCTCCGCCACATGCACAAACATCACGCTGAAAAAAATCCGTGTAGTTTGCATCATCTTGGAATATACTAAGAAAACTAGAGCATCTTCTCTCTCAACATTGTTTTCTATTGTTTGTTGTCTCTTATGGGTCCCAAAGATACCCTTGTTAGGGCAAATACTATAAGCATCCAAGCATAATCTCCTAGATGCCACATGAGCTTAAATAGTGAGGTGAAGGAGAGAAGACATGCAAGAGGCAACCCTACACAAAATTCAAGACAAAAGGAGAGAGAGGAAGAGTGATTGGGCAAATAAACATTGGGACTTAGTGTATTAGAATTATCAAAGATGTAATATATTATACATGTTACCTTTATATTTATTAGTTGATGATCTGGTTAAAATTAGATGTAGCATCTACCTCTTTTATAAAACTTGCCCTTACCTGGTTCTTGGCTTGAGACAATTTCTTCTCTCTCCTTTGGATTAGTACCCATGCAAAAGGCCCAACAGTCTTTTGTTTCTCTCTCCTTTAGCACCCCTACATTGCAGATGCTTTTACAATTAAGCTATATCACTGTAGTTTGGACAGCTAGACAACATTGTTGTGCTGAGAAAGGACCGTGATACGTCAAGCCTTTGGCCATATGACAAAATTGAATGTGCTGATGAAGCTTAGAGGAGGGGGGTGAATAGGTTGTCCTTGAAAACTTAAAAATAAATCGCAGCGGTAAAATTCAAACAGACCCCGAACTTCCTGATATGGAACACCGGAACTTCCCGTTTTCCAGGTCCGAAACTACCGGTGTTCTTTGGACAGGAACTTCCGGGTATAACAGAGACTTGGATGTAATTCAAGATTCAGAACAGTAAACTTAGCCAGTTCTCCCAAGATGATTCACAGGTATTCTAAGCAGAAACACAATCACAGAGACAATCACAGAAACATCACAGAAAGAGATAAGAGCGATTTTTTCCCGAAGTTCGGATCAAGCGATCCTACTCTCCGTTGAGGAGCTCCAAAGAGCTGGGTCTCAATTAACCCCTTGCCTCACTTGTACAAAAACCCTAGAGGAAATCCTCAGCCTTCAACCCCAAACACCCCTAGGCAAATTTCTAGAATTGAGTGATCACCAAGATCCAACTTAACCTACTTCTAGAAATTCACCACAAGTGTGGGTTGCTCTACTTGGAAAACCTCTAGAATCTCAGCACAAGAACTTCATTAACTTACCTCGTTCCCTTTCGGAGGAGAGGAGATCCTTCACAAACTTACCCGAGACATCCACAATATGCAACGGATTCTCGCGGGTGACACCTAACCGTCTAGGAGATTATCTCCAAGAGTAATAGGCACCGAGATGTCAGCCCACAAGATATACCAAGTGCTCACCCAAGATCCTAGTTTTCACACATCTCCAAATCTTCTTCTCTCCCCCTCAATCTCTCTTTCTCACTAGAATTAGGCTCAAGATTGAGTGGAGAAGGCAAGAAATATTTGGGAGAGGCTAGCAACAGCTCTGGGGTCGAAAAGGGAAAGTGGAATGGCCAAAGAAAGAGCTGGAAACAAGCTGGTTAGATATAACAGCTAGGTGACGTCATCTAGCCGTTACTAACAATTTTGAACTGGAAATTAGATTGGAAGTTCTGGACCTGGAAGACAGAAACTTCGGAACAATACATAGGAAAATCTCTTTCACCAGACCGGAACTTCCGGACCTGGAAGACAGGAAGTTCCAGACTTGCATTTTTTGACAGATGGAGTATTTGCAAAAATGACTTCTAGGGAAAATTGTCACTTGGTTCACACTAAGAGCACCATATCTCAGAGCACCACCTGGAACCCCTCTTAATAGTACGGTTTTTCCTAAAACTCGATTGCAATAAATAAATTATCCTATGCACTCCTCGAGTTCCGGTCCGCTTTGATTTTATACTTTTGGGGGGTCTCCAAGCATCCATCTTCCACACCTTGGACTAATGCACCTGAAAGTAGCTTAATAAACTCATTAGTCCCTTAACCACATTTGTCATTAATCACCATAACCCACTAGGGGGATTAATGCACTTTCAAAAATAACAATTAATGCTGCAACATTTGCACAACTCATTTTAACTGGATTCATAAAATTTATTTTTCAAAATTTTAATAATTCTTTCTATGCAAAGTTGACCAGCAGTTAGCTTCAGGCTAGTTTAATCTACTCCCTCTCTGTTTAATATTATAAGATGTTTTGATTTTTTTTCCTAAGTTAAACTTCTATGAAGAAAATTTTAGCAACATCTACAATATGAAATTCGTTTCATTAAATCTAACATTGAATATATTATGATAGTATGCTTAATTTGCGTTAAAAATATTGCTATGTGTTTCTATAGACTTCATCAAACTAATAGAACTTTGACTTATAAAAAGCCTTTCAATATTCCTTTTTCAAGATAACATACTAAAATTTTGTATATAGTTAGTTAATATACTTCACCCAGTCATAAATATTTGACGTTTGGCCATCATTCGGTTAAACTTTTGAACTTATGACCATCAATATTTTTTTGAATGTGTAATCTAAAAAGAGGTATACATTGATTTGTGTTGAAAATCACTATAATAATATCATGTACTCAATCTGTTTCATATTATAAGACGCTTTAACTTTTTCCCTATTCAAACTTCTTTACTTTAACTAAGTTTATAAAAAAAATTATCAATATCTACAACACCAATTTCGTTTTATTAAATCTAACATTGTGTCATGTTATGGATAAGACATACCTCCTATCCTACGACTTATGGAATATACAGATATGGCGTACCTTCGTGTGTACAATATATTTCCGTATACGATAAAGAAATTAACACGAGATTATGGAAATTATCCTCACGGGCAAGTGAATAGCAGAATCATACTCGGAGAGGATTGGGTTTATACTATATCGTGCAGGGTCTATAGCATTCAAGTTCTACTTAAAGACTAAGGTGATTCAGGGTATAAAAGGCACACCCCCTGAGGGGTCCAGATCATCGAATCATAAGGCCAACACCACCACCACTGTAGCCTACAATCTGGAGGACGTGAAGTGTACTCACCAGGAGATCTCGTCGAAACATCTCAACAAGGGTCTCGCCGGTAATCTCGAGATTGTTGGTTCTCTATTTGTAATCCGTGGTTTTTCCATATCAATCTCATATAAGCTGAATTAGGGCTATTACCTTACGAGGGGCCAGAACCAGTATAATTCTTGTCTTCTTGTTTGCCTGATGTCGTATCGTGTAGATCCTCGTACCAACGTACCCCAATACTCTATTCATTCGGCATATGGGTAACCCCGTTGACACATTGAATATATTTTAATATCATTTTTATTTGTGTTGAAAATTTTACTATATTTTTCTATAAATTTTATCAAACTAAAAATATTTGACTTAGAAACAAGTCACCGTACAGTATGAAAAGGATGGAGTATTTATTTACATATTTTATAAACTTAGTAGTATAACATAAAATAAAATTGATGATGTGAATCTAAAAATTTTGACCAAATCTTATTCTAGGTGTCAAATATTTATAACAAAGAGGGAATACTAAATGATCAACCAAATATTTTCCCTCTACAGTTTTGACGTGAGAAGTATATCTTTTTTTTCACATATTCATTTATTTTTATTATATAAATAAATACAATTATAATAATAATCAAAATGGTCAAACCAAACAACCACCCCCTTCCCACCGGGCCAAGCAGCCCGTAACGTAACCCACGCTAGTGCGCCGTCCCTTCGGGCCCACAAGCCGTCCACCCACTTCCGCTTCCCCACGTGCCGCTCGCTCCCCCCCCCCCCCCCCCCCCCCCACCCCAGCAGTCGCCGCCGACCACGACGAACAACAACTCAACTTTCACCCCCCGAGACAGGAGAGAGAGAGAGAGAGAGAGAGAGAGAGAGGCAGGAGAGTAGGAGACAGAAGGAGAGTTAGCCGCCGAGCACGACGACTCCTCCCTCTCCTCTCCCCTTCCGGCTTCCACGCGTCGGGAACCGAAGTCCAAACCGAGAGAACATCGACATGGCGGCGGCGGTGGCGGCGCAGCTCCGCGGGCCCTCGGCGGCGGCGGCGAGGAGGTGGCCGGCCCCCTCCGGCGGCGTCCTCCGCTTCGCGCCGCTCGCTACGTCGACGGTCCCGGCGTCGATCGCCCGGGGATCGCTCCGCGGGGTTCCCGCTGGCGTCGTGCTGCCCAAGGTGAGAGAGGTTTCTGTAACTTCTTTTTCTCCTCCTCCTCCTCCTGGATCTGGAATTTAAGTGTTTTCGCGGCTGTGATGGATTGGCAAAATTAAGGGAGGCAGACCGCGCCGCTGGAGGTTTTCAGCGCATCGAGTGATTTTAGCCGCGTTTGAATTCCTTAGAAATGTACTACCTCATGACATGGTGCAGGCCTGCAGGGTAGAAACTAGAAATGCATTGTGTTAAGAAAGGAATACACAAACCAAACACGTTGAGACTCCGTTTTACCAAGAATGCAAAGGAGATCTGCGTATCATTTCCATCAACAAGAAATGTTTTTGTTTAAAAAGAAACATGAAATTAAAATTAGAGGTCAACTATCACTAGCCTATGTATTTTTACATCAGTTTCGGGTAACAAATATTTCTTTTATTTTCTCTATATGTTTAACTTAAAACCTTCTTAGAAAGCAAAGAAATAACTAAATTCCCCATTTTTTTGTTACTTACATTGCCAATTGAATGGGAACGTTACAGGCACCACATAATGGAACATCACGTCGTGCTTTAGCACTCCTATTGTTGCCATGTCTGCTGGCGAATTCCTGTTGATTTCAGTGATTCCTCTGTATTATGTGCTAACCAGCTAGTCTGTGCTCTGCAATAACGTCTCCCCTCCAAGAATGGATTCGGGAACTATAACCTTTTCGTACAAACCTTGTGTAATTAAATGTAATATGCTTTTGGGAGTAATATTGTGATAAATCCTATAAACACATACTGCTATATAACAGATATTATGAGGTATTTATGGCTACCTGGTCTCACAAAAGCATTCATGATAGCACTTCCATACTCTCTCAAGAACTCATTTACATAGATTCTAAAGCAGTGGTATTAATGCTGTAGTAGCACATCTGTTGGATATCAGTCATTAGCATCTATGTAAAGAGCATAATAATTGTGTTAGTCAAGTGTATTGCTGCGGTTGAGATCCCTGGATGGGATACCGCAGGTCGTGTAACTTCTGTTGGCATGTTTTTGGCATAAACAAGTGGGTTCAATATGGAGAAGTGAACATACATGCTGGGCCATCAAGATTATATTAGTATGCAATGGACGATAGCACATGGCAGATGAGCGTATATTGTATAGACCAATGAACATTCCATTTATGATGATTGACATTAAAAGACAATTTGTCAAACCAAGCCTAGGTAAGCTGCGAGATAGTATCTATATGACAGGCTGATCGTCTTCTAATATTTAAATTCCTGCACCTTGCAGGATTCCGATCTATATTTTTTGGTTCCTGCAGACCACTCAATGTCTAAGCAAAGATCATTTTGTTGGCAGCAAAGTTTTGTGCTGAGATAATTATGAATTGTTTGATATTGCAATATCATGTTTTTGTTATCTTTGGAACCCTGGAGGCCATATTTTATTAAAACAAAATGGCCTTTAGTTGAATCCCATGAATTTATGTATGTCTGTAGATGAATGTATATCAGTTCTCCTATTCAAGTAACTTACTATTCTTCCTTCTGAGACGAAGTTAGGCATACCTTGCCCACTAGTCTTTACATTCTTCCTTATCTTTGTGAAAACTTTTCCTCCTCTTATGTCTAGTTTATGGCCTTGCAGCCATTGATAGCAATGTGCATGAAGGCGGAGTATACCAGCAGTCCTGTTGATCCTAATGCTGTCGCGGAGCATACAGAAGATGAAAATCAACAGCCAACCACTGTATCGCCTACTAATGCAGAAATAGACATAGACCAAGAGGCTGTTCCTCAACACAAGGGTGCAATAATACATGACTTTTGCCTAGGGATCCCTTTTGGTATGACTTCAACTTCCTTCAAAGCAACATTCTGTATTGATTTTATAATTCTGACATTCTGACTGTTACTTGATTCTTATTAAAAACATAGCTTGGTTCAGTTCTGTTATTATTTATGATGTCCTCAAATTCTTGCATTTCATGATCTTAAAGTAATCCTTTAAGGCCGAGTTTAGTTCCAAACTTTTTCTTCAAACTTCCAACTTTTCCATCACATCAAAACTTTCCTACACACACAAACTTCCAACTTTTCCATCACATCGTCCCAATTTCAACCAAACTTCCAATTTTAGCATGAACTAAACACATCCTAACTAAAGGGCATAATGCCCTCTGCCATTCTACTATGGAATCTAGTTGAGGAATCTTTGTATGTGTCATCTTTTTGTGGAGGCTGGTTAAATGCTCCAATACTGTTATCCTATTTTTTGTTGCATCTATATTCTCTAGGAATAAGTCCATTCTGTCCTCTAAAGTTTCCCCCTAAAATATGAAACCAGATTTATATTCCCTAAAATATGAAGTTTTGGAGGTGGTTTCGCCATGACTTAGGTAATTTCCTACATGTCATCGACTGATTGTGGACTTCCATCTTATTCCTTAGCTACTACCTTTCGCTGTGGCTGGCACCAACACCCTTAGTCATTGCTAACCAGAGCCAACCCAAGTGAGTGACTACATCATTAGCACGTCTGCTACCACTATGGTGAAAGCACCTCCAAAACCACTATAGGGGGGGGGGGGTTATTTAAACCTGTTTTCATACCCTAGGAATGCTCAGTTTCATACTTCAAGAGGTTAAATAGACTGATCATAGTGTTCTAGGAGGCTAATGAGACCTTTTTCTATTTTATAATAATGAGTCCTACTAACATTTAATTGTTCAAATTCAGGTGGAATTTTATTTTCCATGGGCCTTGTTGGATTTCTGTTTTGGAGGAGTACCGTAAGTCTTACTTTCGGTGTTGCACCTGGCCTTGCAATATTGGCCCTTGGTGTGCTTAGCCTTAAGGTTTGGAGGAGTGGCAAGTCAAGCTTGCCATTCATACTGGCACAAGCAGGTATCGCCATTTCCTAACTTAACATCTTCTCAGGTTTCAATGAATCAAGTTATGATTTTGCAGTGACTTGAATATCTGATAGTATAATAGGATATATCTCTTCATTGTTTATGCTCGATTGCGAGTTCAGAAATATTCGAAATTGAACCCAGATTGCTATTATAAGCAAGATTGTAGTTCTGACTGTGAATAACCTGCTCTGCTCATCATTTGCAGCTGTTGCTGCTGCGGTAGCATGGAAGCACTTCCAGGCGTACACCACAGTAAGTGACACTTCCTCTTTGTTCTCAAGAATTCTGAATCTTACTCTTTTTCTGATTTATCAATCCTGTTATGTCAGACAAAGAAACTGCTTCCCTGGGCTTTTTACACTGCACTCAGGTAATCCCCCCTTATCTTTTTTCTTGCCTGAATGAATTGTTCATTTCAGCCTTTTGCTCCTCCTCTTACTATTTCTTGTGTTACCAGTGCCGCTATGATCTGCTTCTACTCATATGTGCTACTTGCTGGGGGGAATCCACCACCAAAGAAGAAGGCAGCAGTTGCTCAATAAGTCGTGTCCTTTCGTGTTATCATAGTTGTACTGATATAGGAATGTGTTTGCTTTTTTTTCCCTTTCTTTTCCATTGGTGAACAGCGAAAAGAATAAGTTGTATTCTACCTTAGCTCATTTGGGTACATAACGAGAAGACCTAAGAAAATTTTTTTCTGCCTCAACATGAACTATTTTTTCCTGGACAGACGTAAACAAAAGTTCTCTCTGAATTCTTACCACAAAATTCCATTGGCCACATGGGCATATATAGCTATGTCCATCCAAAAGTGTGTTTTCTCGTATTTTCTTTCAGAGTTTCTGTGTTAAGTTCTGGTGAGGTTTGCTACTCTGATATGATAGCCCGAAATGTGGCTCAACCCTCAAGGGATTCAAGCTGCAATTTGATTCTTGTAATACGATTATACGAGTTGCTATTTAATTTCAACCAGACTTCGATACCTGGTTTTTCTTTGAAGTTTTTGACGTGTTCGTTTGTATAAGCTCGAGTTGCTGCAATATTTTCTCTGGCAACTTGAGTTGCCTATTGATTTCAAATAAAGATGCCAACCTTTTCTTTCCTATCCTTTTTGAGTTGCCATTCAATTTCGACAAGATCGTTATGAATTTTCAACCAGAATATAAGACGTTGCCACTCGATTATTTACTCTAGCTTCCGACAACCTTCAATCTCATTATGTGTGGTGTGCCTTTTGCTGCCCTAATGTTAAACGTTTAGTTTTTTTGTTGTGGGTTAAACTTTTATGAATTTTATTGCATAGATAAAACTCGAGTTCCCTCGCCAGTTGATTTTTGTTTGATTTTGTTTCTCATAAGAAATTATACTCCTAGATTTCTATTCCATTTTTCAGAGTTTGGCTTGATTGCACTATCTTTGCACTTGACGTGTTGTCTAATAGCTCGTGGACAATATTGCAATCTAATGAGTTGCCAAATTTCAGTATTGACTACCAAATCTCTTTTCGGTTTTGTTAGAAAACTGCCATCACATTTCTCGAGTGACTTCAGTTAGTTTTTTTTAGTTTAGCCTCATCATTTGCTCCATGAGTGATAAGATGTAGAAAAATAAATGAAACAACCAATATAATGTAAAATTAATGCTGAAAAGTAAACTATGATAAAAAAAATCTCTCAAAGTCTACTCTAAATTAAATTTCAAAATATAAAGTTTAGCTGGAGCTGATAAGCCAAAAAAAAATGGGAAGCTTTGTATGCGCTAGGCACACACAAGTTGCTCATGATGTATTTATACGTTTCTAGTAGTATCTCTTTTGTTTTTTTCCTTGTTGTGTTGATTTGTACTGTTGCATTTTTGCTAAGGGTCTATTTGTTTTGGAGGAATTTCAACATATAGGAATAGGAAAAGTGAAAGAATAAGAATGTATGCACATATGATTTTTTTTCATAAGGTTTGTGTGAATAAAAAAAATTCTTTAGTTTTCCTATCTCTACATTCCTAGGAATCGAATGACATTCATACGCTTCGATCTTTAGGAATCCAAATCTTCTGAAATTCCTCCAAAACGAATAGTGCTTAAAGGATTATGTGTAAATATTGAAAATTACAATGTATATTTTTCTAAGTGTCTTTATTTTTTAAAAAATGATGTCGTAAAATGAGTAAAATGACGTCAGCTATTAGATTCGATCAGAAGTTTAGGCAGTGTAGCGTCATTTTACATCATTTTACAACATATATTTTTCTAAGTATCTTTATTTTACGTCAGCTCTTTTACAGCAACTGAGCAGATCAAATGGCGTAAAATGACGCTACACTATAAACTTCTGATGGAGTTCATTTGTCCATAGACATACCACCCCTAACATTCCTACACTATAAACTAATTCCCAAGGGCAAAAAGAAAAAAAAGCACAGGTCGACGTGTCAATCTCCACGTGGCGACAAGCCATTGGCCAGCGACACGCCATCGTCGCACCCCACAACCGTTCCATGAACCAAGTCCACCCGCATACGGGCAACACCAGCTACTAGTCTACGACCCACCCACGCGTTCTCATCCGACGTGGTGAACCGCGTCCACAACCACTCTCGCCTCACGCCCATTCTCCCACCAAGATCAAACCCGTTCGTTTCACTCCCGGAGAGGAAGAAGAAAAAAACACAAAAACCGAAAAGAAAAGAAAAAAAAAACAACAACAACAAGATTTTTTTTTTCCGCAAACCCTCTCGAACCAAAATCGCGGCGGCTTTATCCACGAATCAAAAAAAATCCCCGCGACAATGTCTCCGCCCAATCTTTCCTCCTCCTCCTAGAGCCGGAGAATCCACCCGCCATCACCATCGTGCTCGCAATCGCATCGGTAAGAGCAGCTTGGATCTGGTCTAGGGTTTGTGGGGGGTTCGCGATATCGTCGCGATTCCCGTCCCTTTTTCTTTTTTAGTTTTGATTCGTGATGAGCTGGTTGTTTGTTGTGCTAATTTTGTGATCCGGTGGGTGGTGGGTGGTGGTGCAGCCTGTGGCGGGATCGCCGGCGGCGGCGGCGGAGATGATTCGGCTGCAGACGTACGCGGCGTTCAGCCTGATGGCGACGGCGACGGCGGTGTACTACGCGTTCAGCAGCAGGGAGCAGTTCTACCCGGCGATGGTGTACCTCTCCACCTCCAAGATCTGCTTCGTGCTGCTCCTCAACACGGGCCTCGTCGCCATGTGCGTCGCCTGGCAGCTCGTCAAGCGGCTCTTCCTGGGGACGCTCCGGGAGGCCGAGGTGGAGCGGCTCAACGAGCAGGCGTGGCGGGAGGTGGTGGAGATCCTCTTCGCGGTCACCATCTTCAGGCAGGACTTCTCCGTCTCCTTCCTCGCCATGGTCGCCGCGCTGCTGCTCGTCAAGGCGCTGCACTGGCTCGCGCAGAAGAGGGTCGAGTACATCGAGACCACGCCCTCCGTGCCCATGCTGTCGCACGCCAGGATCGTCTCCTTCATGCTGTTCCTGCTCGTCGTCGACTGCCTCTTCCTGTCCAACTCGCTCAGGTCGCTCATACACAAGCGGGAGGCGTCTGTTGCAATCTTCTTTTCGTTTGAGTAAGCTCCATTTTCTTTACTTCTCGCTTTTGGATTTGTATGCTCTCTTAGACAACATATGCTTAAGAGTTGTTATTACTATGAGTAGTATATGGATTTTCATTGCTAGATGTCAAGTTAATTTTGTAAGTTGCATTTATAGCATACCGGACTATGAAGCAATTAAAATAATTCTTACGTATTGATTTTAGGTAACAGATTCAATTTGACTTAGTGTGTTCACTTAGCTATGCATAAATTTGCCTAATATGCTCATAAATCCTTTCATTTAGATATTTGGTTTTTATATTCCAATTTCCTAATCTATGATGATCTCGTTGAGTTTTGCTTGTTTGAAAAAACACAGTGCTTTAAGAACTTTTTAGATCACCATGTCCGACTCTTTTTTGACATTAGATTTTAGTAAGATTTATAAGCTGTATAATACTTATCTTTTTTGAAGCGTGGGATGTGCCTTTTGCACAATACATAACCATATTGACTAATCTTACCGTTGCCTGATGCTATTCTTCTCTGTATCTGACTATCTGCCGATGATTTCTTCTTGTGTTATTTCACAATATTGAGATTCATAATAACTCAAGGATGTGCATATCAGGTACATGATACTAGCAACATCCACAGTATCGACATTCGTGAAATATATATTCTATGTCAGTGACATGCTAATGGAAGGTCAATGGGAGAAAAAGGCAGTGTATACATTTTACTTGGAGCTCATCAGTGACCTTGTACACTTGTCTTTGTATATGCTCTTCTTCATAGCTATCTTCCTGTAAGTTCTCTTAAGATGATATTTCTGCTTTATGTGTTGTACTGTCAACCTGGGTAATTGATCTTCTATATTGATATATCAGGAACTATGGTGTCCCACTGCACTTGATACGTGAGCTGTATGAGACATTTCGCAACTTCAGAATCCGTATCGCGGATTATGTACGCTACAGAAAGATAACTTCCAACATGAATGAAAGATTTCCAGATGCCACAGCAGATGAGCTCAATGCGTGAGTCTTATTGAAATTTTAATTCAGTTATTTCTTTAACGAAAATTGTTTGTGACTTAATCTTTTATATTCAGGAGTGATGCTACATGTATTATTTGCCGTGAGGAGATGACCACAGCAAAAAAGCTGCTTTGTGGGCACCTGTTCCATGTCCATTGTTTGAGGTCATGGTTAGAACGCCAACACACTTGCCCTACATGTAGAGCTCCAATTCTGCCCCCAGATAATGGGCGTACTGCAGCACGTCCGCATGGAGTTCATCCTGGAGTTCAGCCTGGTGACTGTCTAAACCTTTTTGTATCATTTTGCACAACGTTTATACTTTGTTCTAATTCAACATAATAAAAAATAGTTCCAGGTAATGGCACACCAGGTTCAGAACGAGCAGCAGGTGAGAACATAAGCAGGCGCCAAGCAAAACTTGAAGCAGCTGCTTCGGCTGCTTCCCTATATGGGAGATCCTTTGCTTATCCTCCAGCGAACAATTTGAACAGGTACTGATTCTACTTTTTGCTGGGAGAGACTACTGCAAACTTTTTTGTAATTCCATTTCAGACTTGGTAATAACTATGATAACAAATGCCAAATCTGAAAATTCTTTTGTGGATAATGGAACTTGTGACTTCTACAAAGTTTAGACATTCTTTTTTTTTTTTTGCAAACTGCCTTTTTTTCTGTGACTAAGTACATATCTATGAACTTTGTTGGATGATTATAAATTTAATTGTGCTGTACTGATGGTTCATTAATATGATGTATAATGATTGTAGAGCTTGTTCTTTTTTTGCCTATTCTTCCAATGCTAGGCATACTCTCTCTCTCTCATGACATTTAACATTATGCCTTTGAGTGTTGCTGTCATCTCCAATAGGCTGAGCATACTCATTGGTCTCACTATCTCTTTGTTGTTTGCTTGCATGAATGTAGTTGTCGATGCCCCAATGTATTTTATTGTGGATTAAGGATGTCTAGTACCTATTTTCCACATGACGTCGTATTAAAAAAGGAACTTCACTCAACCCATGCTTATCTGTAATCCATATATCTTACCTTTCGTGATAAATACATTTGCATTAGAAATGGAAATAAGATAAGCTTGTGAGAACAATGAGTGAGCCTGGGCCTTAAAGAGTAGTGAAATGTTATGTGAAGGAAATATGGTTACCTAAAATTGGTGTGTAAAAGCATGATTTTTGTGATGATTTACCTGAAGATAGTCTGGTTTTGTGAAATTTACTCTTAGAAGAGTTAATTTGCACGATTTATTCACAGTTTTCCTGTGATTTTTATTTGCATAGCATTTGCTTATACTCCCTCCATTCCAAAATATAAGGCACAACCACCCTTAACCCAAAGACCAAGAAATAATTATTATCATCTTATAGTTTGAATCATCCTAATAAATATAATGCATGCATCCAATAGGATTAGATAACATGAGAGTGGAGGATTTTAAAAAGTAATAATTTAATAGAGAAGATGTCATAATTAATTGTATGCTTGCATGCATGCTTTATATTATGGAACATCTAAGAAAAGTGGTTGTGCCTTATATTATGGAATGGAGGGAGTACTACATAGTTAATCATATTTGGTTGTTCTTAACTGTCTCTGTAACCAATTCCCACAAAAAAAGGTATTTCTGTAACCAAGGTTGGGTTAATGAAATGTGTTTCTAATACTTTTTTTTTATAAGCTGAGCAAGATGTAATCATTTGTCATTTGCTCTGTGTGTCCTGACACTGATAAGTATCATGTATTCAACATAGGTATTCAACTCCTCCACAGTCTACATCAAATGGTCCACAATCAGGAGAAGCAAGTACTTCCAATCAATCGCCAAAAGGCCATGCAACTGCCGATCCTTCAGCGCCTACTTTTTATGCACGTGGTGCTGTTAGTTCAGTGACAACTACCAGGGAACTTGAAAGTTCACTGCAGAAGGCATATGAAAATGCTATAAAGAGCCAGATAGAGGTAAGGATGCAATTTGATTCCTAAAGCTAACTTAAATCATGATATATGTTTTGTATTGGCACTACCAAGTGTCACATTTGTTAATACAAACCAGAGGCTTATGCAGGCTGCATGCAAATTTCTGGATATGTCTGTTGTAAACACATCTTTAACTGCACTCAAGTTACATGCTTGGTATGAGCCATTGGGTTAGACATTGATGACTTAGATTCATGGGAAACTGGGTGTCATATGGATGCATAACTTTATAACATTCTGAATTTGCACGCACATAGGCTGAAAGTTGTTAGTAAGAGCTCTCACCTCCAAATATAAAATGAGACCACTGAACTCGAATGAAAAATATAAAATGAGCTAGCTAAGTGAGAAAGAGAATTATGCTCTACATAGCCCTTTCTCCTTTTCCTATTTATTTTATCTGTTGTTTTTGTTAAGGATTGTGCTCCTTATGTTTATCTTGATACGGGTTGATTTTGAATTTCAAATGCACCTAATTTCAAGTGGGTGTTATGTAAAATGATTTGAAATGAATGCACCTAATTTGTTTGACCATATTCATGTGACGGCTATGAAGTAATATAAGTCTATAGGTATGCCAGCAAGCAGTTTTATTTTGTAATATCAGTTATTTGACGTACCTATCCCTTTGTTATGGACATATCTTGAGGTGCACTGCAGAATGGTATGCAGCATACAAGTGTAAACATTGCTGCATTTTAAATGCTTGATTATGGTCATCAACTAACTTTAGACAGTAAACATGGTTCATTAGACTAATTAACGATAACGAGAATAGAGAACTAGATCATTTCAGTTTGGCATTCGTTACCATGCGCCAAAATAGCAAAAAAAAATATGCTTCACCTTATTTTCCAATGGCATACTTATTCGGAATAACATTGAACAGTAATATTCTTTTATGTTAGTTGTTTATACCCAACAGGATTCATAACATCATTTCCTTTTTCCAGATGTTGCAAATCCAGCTGCAAATGTTTCAGCATGGGGCTACTTCATCAGCGACTAACAATGAAAACGGTGAGCACACAAAAAGCGACTGAAGTTGTAAATAAGGGGAAGGTGAGGGCTGAACAAACAAAGGATATATAGATGGTGACTTGGCAAATACCCGAGGAGAAACTCCCATGCCATGCTTTATTTCGATTTTGGTAGGCTCGTTCATTTGTATGTCCATGTTAGAGGCCTCCTATCAACATCAGATATTTATTTGCTTAATGTGGTCATTTGAGTAGAGATGCAGTGTTGTAACTACGACTAATTTCAGATTAGCACATCTGGGAAAAAGCAACATGATTCTTCAATCTGAACCATCAGTATGCTCCCTCTTTTTTCTGGCATTTTTGTTTGTACGCTATAGTTGGATTTATACTGTCCAGACATTCAATACTGAATTTAATAAATGTGAATATGGTTTAAGTCGCTCTTCTGAATTCGTGCTTCAATATTCTTTTCTTACCATCACTATGTAAAATCCTTATCCAGTTTTGGGTTTGAGAATGCTCACTCATTTTATGGCAGCTTCATTGTTATTTAAAGGGAATGAACTACGTATCATTCATTTATGCTCAAATAAACATTTTTTTTCTCTTTTAAGTGTATATCTATTATTATTTTATCCAATGGATCTCCAAATCTGATTAAATTAGATCAATATTTGGTTTGAGTTAATATAATCTGATTTGTGTTTTGATCTAAGGATATTTAGATTGTATTCAAGCTATGCAATTTATATGGAAACAACTATAACACGCACGATTCTAAGTCGATGTTCTGCTCCTACAACACTGAATTTATGTGAAAATTACGCATCTCACACTAGGATTAAACTTTATATTTTTGGGTCTTCGGCTATCCACAACGTGGAAATAGAGGGGGTATTAAGCCCTATAAGGTCTAGACATAAGAAATAAACAAATACTCCCTCTGTCCCATAATATAAGGGATTTTAAGTTTTTGCTTATACTGTTTGACCACTCGTCTTATTTAAAAAATTTGTGTAAATATAAAAAACGAAAAGTTACTTTGGATAATAAAATAAGTCAAAAAAAATAAATAATAATTCCAATTTTTTTTTTAAAAAAGACGAGTGGTCAAACAGTGCAAACAAAAACTCAAAATCCCTTATATTATGGAACGGACGGAGTATATCTTTCATCTCTCTCCTCTACTCTTTCTCTTGAAATGTGGTGTCCACCTTAATACTCACCTTTTACACATACATTGTGGGGGTGGCAATATACAACACCGAGACCCACCTTAGAACTAGCTTAGGCATTATGCATTGTGCATGCCAAGCAAGTACGTGTCGGCTATAAAGATGCCATGTAGGATTAGGTGTCCATGTGGAAGAGAGAAATAAGAAGAGAGAGGGTGATAAGAGCAGATACAATAACAGTCCAAACACCGGCGATATCTGTTCCACGTAAGATTACAAGTGAGTTGGAGGGGGATAATGGAGAGAGAGAGAGAAAGAGGAGATAAGTTGGTGACTAATTTATCTCATGCTCCACATGCGCTCCAAGACGACTGCTGCTCAACTATTCCTGGTGTCTTTGCTGTGAAATGCTAAGAGAGAGAGAGAGAGAAAACATTGAATGGGAAGGAATGAGTGGATAGGGATGACCAGAGAGAGAGAAGTGGGAAAGATAGATTAAAATACAGATAGTTACATGGATATCCGTGTGTAGCTGAACAACAGCTAAACTATTATCTACTGTATTTTACAAGTTTACTCTATTCTTGACATAGATAGTTTTGGAGCCAACCGTTAGCAGTACTATTAAACTTGCTCTAAGCCCCCTAGAGACGGGGATCTAGCTGGATAGAGTCACCTTGCAACTGTTGGCTTGAGAAGGAGGAGGAGGAAACTAGGTGAGGGAGGGGTAGAAGGCCGATTGGGGGGAGGGAGAGCTCACCGGCGTTGTTCGCACCCTGTTGGGTAGCAGGCAACAACGATGCTGGAGGAGGCGAGGCACTCGTGTGTGCGTGCGGCTATGGAGGAGAATGACTGCTGACCTGCTCAACATCATCGCAGTGCTCTCCACATCCATGTTGATTAGATGTCATCCCTACTCTAGCTACCTTAGATGTCATTGCTCTCTGCATCCATGTTCATGACCTTAAGAAGCATATCAGCCCCACTCTCCCACTCTCACTTGCCAGCATGACCACGCTCAGCTGCGGATGGCCGCTGCCACCCAAAATTAACGGAAAAGACCAATGCCCAGCCCTAATCACATTCACCCATTGCAATGCATAGGAAATTCATCATGTTAATTAAGTAAACAATTTGCATTGACAATCTAATAAACAACCACTTACAAATGGGCCCTAAATGATCTGGTTGGTTTTTTAAACAAAGTTATTTTATGTCATTTTCCCTGTAAAAGTTTCTTCCACCATGGTACACTCTAGCACGCTATATGAAAAGAAATATAAGGTTTCATTGAAAAAGTACAAAATGTTATCTCCGGTCACGAATTTAAACTCAATAATCTCACGTTTATTATAATTTTTTCCCATTGCAGCGCACATGCACTTTGCTAGTAGAACATAAATCACTGTCCACCTCCTTCATGCATGATCCCTCTCCATATACCGTTCTCTCTGCATCCCGCATGTGTTATCGGAGCCGGCTCCCTACTAGTGGAGAGCGAGAAGGACGGGGAAGGGGTTTCTAATTTCTAGGAAGGTAATTAGGAAAATTGTTGAAGTCAACTTTTTATTAAACTAGCAAATGCCTCTGCTTTGCTACGGGTAAAATGAATTGTCAAATGCTAAGATGTTGACGACCAAATTTGGTAAATTATGAACCAGGTTTGACATTGGGATCGAGGCGGATTCGATATAGAGATCAATTCGAAAAACAGAGAATGCATCGGCTGTGAAGGCATCGGCTGGAGTCTGCATCGGCTGAAATGGATCGGACAGAGGGTAGCCGATATAGCCGATAGAGATGATGCAGCCGATCCAGATAAAGATGGTCTCGAAGATGTTTCTAGAATCGATCGAGGTGTTTTATGAGGATTGCCGCGATGGAGACAAAGCTCTCGGATAGGCAATTGTATCTATTAATTAGGATATTTCATGTAATTTCCTTAGAGATATGTTTGGGCAAAAGTCTGCCGCAAAGACTTATGGTATTTTAGAGTTTGTTAGAGATAAGAGTCGTGTCCGATATGGACATATTTTGTAATCTCGGGTATAAATAGACCCCGAGCCCCATGTAATGAATCTAACACACGTTCAATACAATCTCGGCGCATCGCCACCCTTTACTTTCGTTTTGTTTCGATGAGTTCTTGCTTTCGGGTTGAGCTGCATCGGTTTCGATCTTTAACTAGAGGTAAAACTTGTTATGGCTCGGGATTAGTGCTTCCATCTTTATGATACTCTAATCTTTTTTATGTAATTCGTCGAGTTATCATATATTCTGTATAATCTTCGACAATATCATTATCTAACCTTCAATCGGCTAACATCTATTATTGGAAGGCAGCTGATTAGGTTAAATATCTATGTTGACTAGATTATACAGGATATCCACCACTCTATGAAACAACCAGCGGCTTGATTGTCTAGATATTGCCCTTCCTTTTGTACTTATAGCTGCATCAGTTGAGTTTGACCTTATAAGTCATGATTAGAATTTCAATCTCTAGCCTGCATTCTGGTTGCCGATTAGGGTAGTATCGGGGTTTCAGTCGATCTTACCTGATTTAACTACTTTATAGCTTATATGTTTCATTGATATGTTAAATCCGCCCTTTATGTTAAGATCTTGTTGCATTTAGGTATATTAGGCTTCTGTTTGATATATTTTACTTGCTTTAATATCTTAATATAGAGTGGTATTAGAGTATTAGCCGATACATGCTAGATCTATCTGATCGGCCATGTTATGAACATCTATAATCTCATTGATAATATATATTTCGATCTAAGTGATTTATACTGTCTCGACATGGTGACCGATCTATCCCAATCACTTGATTTAAGTATATATCGACATAAAGATTATATATTGTTAATATCTACAGCCGATCGAGTAGATTTAGTTCTTTCTTACTTATTCATGATTGCCGATCGATTCACATATGACATCGGCTCAAAGATAAATGATACGTCATCAGCGGTTGGCCGATCGGCTTCATTTATGGATTTAACTGCGGTTTCTTTGTCTTTATTTCTTGTTGATTGCAGGATCAAATCAACTGTCACACTCACGAACCTAAAAGCAAGATTTTTGGACCTGCACTGAAGTTAAGCAGATCTTCCAGGCCTCGTGTTTTCGCATCAACATAAGAGTCACATTTAAACATGCTAAAAGGTATATACTCATAGTCCCAGCATGCTCGCGTATCCAGCTCACGATCTCGCTCGCACAATTGTACACAGACTCACGTGGAGATCGGTCATTACCATATTACGCGTGGACGAGGAATGGTGCACGTAGAGGAAAGGTTGAGCTTTTGCCGGTGGGTTCTCGGTGATGTCGTTGCAACTTGGTTTGCGGAGACGCGGGAAGGCCACCAATCTATCTCTTGGTGGCAAGCTTGTTGGTTGGTTGCTCAGGCTCCTGCTTGTTGAAGCTCTCTGCGAGAACATTATCCCTTCGACCTCTGGTGTCGCGTACCTCCGCCAAATGCCGCCATCCTAATTCTTGCATGTTTAAGGCAAGTTGGGGTACGGAGACTTTCTTCAATTCTCCTTGCAGTAGTATTCAAGTTGAGGACTCCATTCGGGTTGAGTATAGACTGTCTAGTCGATTCTTATTGATAGGATTGCAGTATGTGCTCTTCAGATTTGATGGAGAACTCCTTGACAATATTTTGTTCGGTCCGATGAAGCTTAAGATAAATTTATGACTCATCAACAAACCTCCAATAGCGCGGTTTCCGTGGAGGCAGCCGAAGGGGTCACCAGTCTGTCAATCGGTGTCCGCGTCTTCAGTAGGGGCTCGTGGACGTGGTCATCACGGCAATGCCATAGTCCCCTATCGATCACGTTCATTATTGTTGTTTGGACTATCTTGGAGGATGTTTTTCTTAGTTCAGCTGGCTTTACCTTCTAAATGGGTGATGTTGTTCTCTATGTCTTATCTTTTATTGCCATGTACTGGGATGCCATTTTCTTTGAACTCCGTCTGTAATCCTCATTATATAAATAAATTTATGAGTTCTTAAAAAAAAAAGAAGAACCTATCTATCTACTCAGCAGTCGATTTTGGATTTCCATTTTCCATGGCAAATTCGATTATGAGATGGATGCGGACAGGTCGGCCGCGTGGTCTCGAAATTCATCCGAGATTGGCGATTCCGACTCGTTTTCATGTTTGCTGTCACTCTATCTTTTCATAAATATAAGTACATCGCGCATCCTCTGCTCATAGTTTTCCACCCATATTATTCATTCACGAGTCCAGTCTTCTTTTTTTGGTGTGTTTAATTTAGGTACCATGGACGTAATTGCCACGAAGAATAATAAGAAAGCTATAGATCGCAACCCACAAGAGCCGACGACGACGTTGATCAAGACGTACAAGAGGAGGAAGAGGAGGAGGGTGCAGCACCACTGCCACCCCGGCGCATCATCCCTCCCTAACGAGCTCGTCTACGAGATCCTGCTCCGCCTCCCCGTCAAAACCCTTTCCCGGTCGAAATCCGTGTGCAGGGCGTGGCGCGCCACCATCTCCAACCCGTCCTTCATCACCACGCATCTCAAGCAGCAGCAGCAGTCTGCCGTCTCCAGACACGAGCAGAAGCCGTCCTTCCTCATCACCCCGCACACCCTTGACAGCATGATCGACGACGAAGAGCCCTGGCCAACCACATTCTCCAACATAATCACCTTCTACCGTTGGCAGGAGACCGAGCAGGACGATGCGCACCTTGTGCGTGCGACCAACCTACATGGGGAATTCAGGTCGGTTTACGGCATGTCGCACTATGATGGGCTTGTTATATTCCCCACCAATACCAGGTTGTACGTCTTCAACCCAGCTACAGGCAAGGGTTTACACTTTCGTTTTCCAGCAAATTTCGGTGGCAACTGAAATTTTTTGGAATTCCGGTACTTTTGAAAGTTTGATAAATTTTGAATGGATTTGAATAAATTTTAACCAAATTCACGGAGGTTCGAAAACATTTTTGAAAATTTTGGGTGAGATATGTGCTTGTCGGTGGGAGGGTGAAATTGAGATTTTCGTTCTGAAATTGCAACCCCTTACTACAGGTGATGTCCTCAAGCTGCCTGATGGCCAAAAGAGCAGGTTCCAGACTGCAGGCCTAGGCCTTGATCTTGGCACCAACACTTACAAGATTGTTCGGTCCTTCGACCGATCCATCGATTTCAATCAGTGGGCTCACGATGCTGCCGGGATGGAGGTGTTCACTATCGGCAACCGTGATTCGTGTTGGAGGACCATAGCGGAGGATCCACCATACCCGGTTACGGCAGACCCTATGTATTTCAAGGGTTCCTTGTATTGGCACATTTGCAAGGAACTCCTCCAGGAGGGAAGCCCTCCTCCTCCACAGGGTTTCCTCCGCTTCGATTTACAAGATGAGACATTCGGTCTTGTACTCCACGATGTTGTTTCACCATCTGACGAAACACGGCTCGACCTGGTCGAGCTAGGAGGAGAACTGTGCCTGGCTCAGTACCTCGGGACAGAGATGGTGATATGGAAATCATCACCTTCTCCGTCTGATGACATCAGCCACCAATGGGATCGTCTTTACACGATCGGTAATCTACCTGATGAGGGGGTGGAATTTCAAACTGTTCTTCGACTTCGCTGATCATTTCCTGCTCCTTGGACTTGGTTTTCATATTTACCGCTACGACAAGGTAAGTGTTAGTGATATGCCCTAGAGGCAATCATAGAGATGATTGTATCACATACTATGTTTACATATTTATCCGACAATGTTCCTTGAAATAGATAACTCCTTATTGGTTAATGAATATGTGATTCTTTCATGAGACTCTTAATGTTGTTTGTTACTATTTCTAAAGGATCCCTGATCAAATATCATATGTGGAACAAATATGTTTATATGATCAGCACATGTATTAATTGATGATCATGTCTCATGGATCGTGGTATAGAGATACCAAATTAATAATGTGGACACATGTTGGTGAACATGTTGTTGGATAGACCCAACATGAGACACTGCAAGAGCCATATGTGTTGTGTCATCAGTGATCTCATTGAGTGTTGGTGTTGAATCCTTAGACCTGAGATTATCATGGTTCTCAACATGTGTAGTAGCTTACTTAGGGACTGCTAAACGCTACTCCGTAATTGGGTAGTTATAAAAGTAGTTTTCGGGTATGCTATGAAACATGTAGTGGGATATGAATAATCAAGATGGGATTTGCCCCTCCTATGGAGAGATATCTCTGGGCCCCTTGATGTTGTAGATTATGGAAGTGCATGACCATGCCAAAGGTGATTGAGGAGTCAATCACAAGTTAAATATTCTATCAACAGGTTCGAGTGAATGATTGGGCTATTAGAGGATGGCACATATCTAGCCTTGAGCTTAATCGATATCGTGAGGCAAAGGGGTTCATACTAGTATACACTAGAGGTTCAGCCGATATGATCTTTATGTATGCCCAGTGAGTCAATACGTTCTGCTAGGGGCCGCTGTTGACGCGTGGACCGAAAAGGAGTTTTCGGGTTACAGCCGAGTATATATGAACCTACAGGGTCGCACGCTTAATGGGCCGGAATAAGGGGATTGGATAGAGATCCAATATAAGCTTAATTCGGATAGGGATCTGAATAGGAGTCCTACGGGCCTTGGAGACCCGAGTGATGGATCCTATATATTCGTGAGTGGTGTGACCGGCGGAGGCATTGCATCACATGAGAAACCCTAGCCGTCACTTCCCTCCCCGAGCAAAACCCTAGCCGCGCGCAGGTGCTAGCACATCTGCGCGTGGCGTTCCGTCCCTGTACGTGTGGATACCGGTAGAGGCGCCGCTGGTTTGCGGTGCTGATCGGCGTGGGAGTACGGCGAGGAGAACACACGAGGAGGAGAAGGTCGAGCCGGTGCGATCGACTACTTCCTCTACATCGACGCGCGCTACTTCGCGAGAGTTCCTTCGACTTCTCAGCGTCTTCTTCCGCTGCACAGCGCGTCGAGTGGTAACGATCTATGATCTAATACTTGCATGATTCCTGGTTTACGCGATAGAAAATTTTGATTTATGCTATCGTAGCCTACACGTATCCCAACAGTGAGCCGGTCTGTAGAGGTCTGTAGAGGAAGTGGCCCATGTGGATCGGCTCAAGTACAGGAATCCCAGATCAGGCGGCTTGGATTTTGTCGGGGAGGATTTCTACCTTGTCAACATGATTCCCTACACAGAGAGTCTTGTTCCATTAAAGGGGGGCGAGATGGCACTCTTGCGTTGAGAGGCTGACCGGCCGCGCCTCTTCAATTGAACTTTGCACAAGATCACTAGTTTACTGGGGTTTTGTATTTGAATTCTTTTGTGTCATTTCTGTATATGCATGGATATGCACTGAACAACAACGTTTCAGACAAGCTTTGAGCTGCCTTAGTTGTAATAATATTATTTATTAATATGAATAATTTTCTTGTATCTGTACATGGCACAGAAGGCTAGGCCGTCGTGGCATGGCTGGAGGTGTTGTGCTTGGCTTGCCTGTGGTGCGTGATTTGTTGCCTTTCATCCTTTTCAGGGCGCCCGTTTAAACTCAGGTTTAATTCCTTTGTGTGGCACTAGTTTTCAATCCTTTTATTTTACAGGAGAAGGCTAGCCGGAAAATGGTGAAATGTGATATTAGGATGGATGGACAGGCGGAGCTTAGTGCTATGAGAGCACTATTAGGATTAGTATATAACTTCTATATTGGGTCTGTTCCATGAGAACATATTTGCAGTAAGTATTAGAACCTCTTTTATTGGGAATGCCGGTTGTAAGAGGTGATACGAAAATGCCCAGTTGTCGGTCTCTGGTGATTTTGCTCTTGTAATACGCTACTCCCTCCGTCCCATAATATAAGAAATTTTGAGTTTTTGTTTGCACTGTTTGGCCACTCGTCTTATTCAAAAAAAAATTTTGTGCAAATATACTTTGGATAATAAGTAAGTCAAAAAAATAAATAATAATTTCAAAATTTTTTGAATAAGACGAGTGATCAAAACAGTGCAAGCAAAAAGTCAAAATCCCATATTACGGAACGGAGTATTTCAGTCTATCACTTTCAATTCAGGTCATCACTCATGGGCCACAGCAAGTCAGCAACAAACATCTCATGCACGGTTTAAACTAGGAACTAAAATCACGGTTTAAACTAGCAACTCAACAGAGGTTAACAGTACAGAGCTATATTCTGCATGCGCTGAATAACATGTTCAAGATGACAGACCCACATGAAAAATGTCAGCTCAGAACGGGCTGGAACACAACGGACCAATTTACACCAGATGCCCACCATGCTAATGACTAGTGGTCCTTGGCTTGTCAGCCACAATGTATCACCACCATCACCACAACTTTTATCGGTTTACTTCGCTTTTCAAAATTTTATCTGTACAGGGATTGCAAGAATGTTGCCCAAACTTACAGCAGCTACTGAGAGAGCACGCTACTGAAGATGGTTATCACTTGTAGGTCAGCAGCACCGAGTTGATTACGTGCATGATCAAACGGATGTTGGTCGCTTCCGAGGAACTGCTTGCTGGCAGTGACCGTTGGTGGTTCAAAACGCCATAGACCTGCTCGAATATCGGCCTCACATGCACAGCGATCATAGGATCTGTTGGACTGATTGCAACAGCAACAGCCGTCATCCACTCAAGCTTTCTGGGCGTGTCATTGACGATGTCACATGCTAGTTGCTGGAAAAGGGCCAACAGGACCCCTTGGTTGAGAGGAATGGGGTTCATTCTGCATAACTCGTGCAGATCGACCTGACAGAGGATTTAAGAATATCAAACATCCATAGCAGGTGCAAATTATGGTAATGAAAGCTCGGATGGTGAAGCAAAAGTGCATCAAATCCACACCAGCACGCGCTAAGTATGAGTTGCAAGTCAGCAGACAATAGACATTACTTGGTTTGTTCGCAAAGGATGAAAATGGGAATAGCTCAATAACCATAGTCGAGGCTATAATACCTGAGAGCACAGCCAAGACACTATGGAGACATCACTTCTTTGAAGAGCCATTGTAAATGCTTCATCAAATTTGCGCTCAGATATCAGTCTGCTTAGCTCCTTAACAGGATCCAGTGGAGCATCGACCTGAAATTGAAACAGTGACAATTGTAAAATGCTTCATTATTTACGATGCATGAGTAAGAGCAAGATTAATGTGCCTGTATTAATTCATTACAGATCAGCAAAAATAAAAACAATGAAACATACAGATAACATGGAAACTGTAATACCTCAGGGAGACTAGCCACTGGTCCATTACTAGGCTGCAGAACACTTGTATTATGCGATAAGGAGCCCCCCGATGAAACAAGTGCCAAAAGCTTACGCTGTCCATCAAGCAACTCTGATGCAAGACCCTGGTTTATCGATGATGCTGAAGCGATTGTTTCCTGACATAAATTCAAATATGAGGTCAGAAGATGGTGCGAGTGATATTGGCATGTTTCCTTCATCTCTGTGTCACTTCTGGCACTCTATGCAATAAATGCTCAAGAAAGAAGCCGGCAAACTTACCCTGAGAGTTTGTGCTAGTGGAGTATGTGCTGTTGCAACCTGCTGACGGATAGCAGCACCATGCTCAGACATGCCTTTCTGGAATGCACCATCTACTTGCTCAAACATTGTCTTGCAAGATTGTTCAAATGCTGGAATGATTGTTGACTCAAAGCTAGAGCGCAAAGCATCCTGAAAGGATCAAATTAAAACCAATCAGTTACTTGAGTAAACACTACATAAAAGTTTTTTCCCTCGTGCAATCATCCTGTATCATATTAATCATAGATATATGTTGATGCAACTTGAGTTCCTTGGTGCTTGACGCCTCGACTGAACTAGTTAGTGAGGCATATTATGGTGTTTGGTCTATACTGAATTTCAAATCCTTGAGAGATGTTCATGCTGCATGCCATTATGTCACAGTTTGGTCAAACAAAACAAAAATATCACTATCTTTTGGATTATATTATGAACGACTGGCGTGTACAATCTTCCCAACCAAAGTACCAAATACTTGAATGCAACTCCATCCTACACAATCCGATGCATAGATGGTTTTCTTCTGACAATAAAGCGACCGAAAATATGTGATGCACAAGAAAATATAACTCAGTGAAACAAATCTGTCATGAACTCAACATAAATCATGGGAATAATAATATCACATGCCCATCTGGAATCAACAACTTAACTGCTTATAATATGCATACCTGAAGGGCCTGCTTGGCAGACGTATGAAACTGCGTTTGGATCTGCCTAGCTACTGTAGCTTCAAGTTTTGTACTTAGGGATTTGTCCAGTTGATTCACAACCTTGTCACCAAGAACTTTCTGAAAGTAGAAGGGCAATGAGAGAGGCGTTGAGGGAAAAAAAGAACATCAGAGAGAAACAATAGCTACAACCTGGAGTGAATCAGAAACAGCAGAAGATAGTGATTTCTCAATGATAGGAGCTGTTGTCCGTGCAACAGCAGGTCCAACTGAAGATATTTCTTTCTTTAGGGACTTCTCCAGCATAACAGGAATATCCTTGTTTACAGCAGTTGTGATGAGAGTAGTGATATGCTGCATACGCTCTCTTTCAGCCTTTTCATGCTTTGC